AGATGCACGAAAGCTAATTGTAACCAATTGACACACTTTCTACAAGATGTAATGTAAGATGATGATTTTTTTTTGTGCTGTTTAATAAAAATAAATAAAAATAAAAATTTCTTCCAAAAAAAAGAAGAAGAAGAAGAAGAAGCCAGGCTGTACCAATGGGTAGTTATGCTCTGGGACGTGAGGCGAGGGTTTGACATGGAGGCACACGACACTGTGTTTATAATGTTCTAGAAGACAGGTATCAACTTTGGCAAGTTTAAGGCCTGTGAACTTCAACTCCCAGAATTCCCCAGCCAGCCAGCCAGGACTTAAAGTTGCCACGGTTGGACCCCCATCTTCTAGAGGCAGAGCAGGGGCTCTGTTCCTGAGCTGCCACACAGTCCCTGTGTGGGACTGTGGCCCAATCCCCAGTGGAATACAAAGGAATCAAACAAATGTAAATATAGTCTTACCATCTCCAATATGAAGGAAAACCATTCCATTCACTCAGGAGAGGTGGTTGCGCAGCCTCTTCATAAACATCTCCAGAGATGGTGAACGCAAAGCCTCCACCTATGGAACTGTCACTTAGAAAACTTCAACAAGGATTCCAGTGGATGGTGTTTTCTATGGGGCTCTGAAGTCCCATGAGTAAGCCCTCCAAAGTGTTTCCCACACTTATTTGCTCCTGTCCAGGCAAGAATTGAAATTTACATTGCTTTTGTGGAATTTTTGTACTGTCTAGGACAGTCTTAGCTAAGTACCTTGGACCTCAGTTTTTCTGTGACCAGCGATGCCTTTGGTTTTCCATAGAGCCTAACACTGATTATTCCTTGCAGGTATTTAATCAAATTCCTTGCAAAACTCGCACAGTATAGTGACATTAACAAGATGACTCCTAGCAACATTGCCATTGTGCTGGGCCCAAATTTGTTGTGGGCCAAGAATGAAGGGTAAGTGTTGAATTCTAATACTTGAATTGCCAGATCAGCAGGGCCAATCACCACGGGCCGTCCTGCATCTGTTGTTTGGCAGCTCTTTGAACTTCAGCTAGGGGGCCCTTGGCCAAGGAGCAGCGAATCTTGAATATTTGTAGGGTTATGTTTTTAACTATCTCTTTAATGGAAAAGGTCCAGCACAAACTAAATCACTGCATAAGAAGTCAATACTGAGTACTTCTGTGCTGTTTCTTCATTTTTGTGCAAGAAAGATTAATAGCATCACAAAGGATATTTTTATTATTCAGTTCTGCAAATCCTAAAATTAATTAAAAACTTGAGCTGGTCAAAGCAATCCGCATATTTTCAGAATGCATGAAGAACCGAGGGGCCAAAGGTAACACTGGAGGGTACGCACCCTGTCGCCTAAAAGCAACACGAGGGAAGGTTCTGCCCATTGGGACAGCTCTAGAAGCCTCAGGCAGCATCTTCAGAAATGCTTCTCCTGAAAGCTGGGCAAGAGAAAAAGCCCTCAGAGGGAGGGGACTTTGAACCCCTCGCTTGTATCCAGTAAACAGTTGACAGCCACCCAGACATTCCATCAGGCATCCTTTGACCCCGGTGAGCAGATTGACTAGATCTCATCATCTTTCTTGATTGCTGAGGACATCTTTTGAGCCACTGGTCTTCTCTCCCCAGCTCTCTTGCAGAAATGGCAGCAGCAACTTCAGTCCACGTGGTTGCCGTTGTTGAACCCATCATCCAGCACGCTACCTGGTTCTTTCCTGAAGGTAAAGAAAACACTTTTTCTTCTTGGCCTGTGATCCAAATTGTTCTTCCTAGGAGAACTGGCAAGCTGATGATGGAACAGCTGTGCTGTTTGCTTTTGATATTTTTTCATCCTTGTAAAAAACCCATGTGAGGTACTGAAAAGAACGAGTTTGGAAACATGTTTTGTTTTTAAATATGTTTTTGTTCAACGTTTAAAGAGAAAATACATAAAGATGTAAGCAGGATAAATAGGGGTGGGGGGAATCCCTTGTGGGGGGGGAAAGGCATTACCATTTAATAGAAATTACCATTTTTCAATACATCATTAATTAATTTTAAGTAATGGAATATATTGCATTTTTAAAATCTAAAAATTATTATTAAATTATTAACAGAATATAAATAACAGGAGACATAATGAATGTTATATAAAATGAAATTGTAGATTACAATGAATTCTGCTGAGAGTAAAAATTTTAGAAAGTGAAATACGTATTTAATTTAGAAATGTTTATATAGAGAAAATCCAAAAATGTATCAAAAGCCATGAACAACAAATTATGAAATGGTTTGCAATTTGAATCAAATTCTATGTCGGATTTACTTTTAAAATAACAAACTTCTAGATCAGAGGTCCCCAAACTTGGCAACTTTAAATTTGCAAAGTTTGAATACCTCTGTTCTAGATGTTGAACTGTATTCCTACAATTTGGTGAGCCATTCTTAGAAGGGATGAGACATCCATTCTAATAAAAGGCATAAAATATCCTCACAGCAGTTAGCATGTACAAAGCTAATCTGGGCTATTTTATGGGGATATATAGTAAAATTTTCTGGGAATATATAGTAAAAATGCTGCAGTTGAAAAGGGTCACATACTTACCTTTTAAGATTTGCTTCATTCTGCTATGAATCATTTTTCAGAATTGTTGAGCTTTACAGCAATGCCAGTTGTAAAAACAGGATCCAAACTAACCTTCATATTTTCAACAATTTTTAGAAATTGAATTATCCACTATATCATGATTGGGTTAAAACATGAGTTATAGAATATCTAATGCCAATTTTCTCTTGTATAACATTTAAGTTTAGTATTCTTGAGATTTTCATTGTTGCATTTCTATTACTGTACCTAAATTCTCTAACTTGTTTTAGTTTCTGAGACATATGAGCTTGGAAATGTCTTAATATCTGCACCCAGCTACTGGCTACTTCTCTAGAGGCATTCATTGTAGTGAAACATTGAACAGAGCTTTTATTACCATTTTTGAGTGCCACTGTAATTTTTTAACTTGCAGTGAAAATAAACAAACTATGTTTGTTTATTAATTTTTATGCCACTCGTCTCCACTATAGCATTAGTATGTAATATACCACTCTACAGTGCTTTTCAGCCCTCTCTGAGCTACAAAGTCAGCCTCTTGCCCCCCAACAATCTGGGTCCTCATTTTACCCACCTTGAAAGGATGGAAGGCTGAGTCAACCTTGAGCTGGTCAGGATTGAACCCCTGGCTGTGGGCAGAATCAGCCTGCCATACAGCATTTTAATCACTGTGCCACCAGGGCTGTAAGGTGACTTGGGTGGCTTACAAGGTTTAAAACAAGCAGAAAAATAATTAAAACTTTAAAACTACCCAGATTAAGATTTTAAGTGTTCCTCAGGGATGGGGCCACAGCGGAAAAGGCTCTTCTTGAACCCGCTGCTGGAATTCCTTAACACACAGGATCTGTAGCATGTCTCTTCTGCTGGCGCAAGTGCGGCAGGCTTGTCTCATTAGGGAAAGATAGACCCATGACATGTAGGGCTTTAAGGTAACAACGAACATCTTGAATTGGATCCAGAAGCAAACCTGTAACCAATGTAGCTTGCGCATTGTTATATGTGCAACACTAGCGACTCCGGACTGTGCGTGCTCCTGCATTCCTATTGTGTTGTATTGCTTTGTCTGACTTTTAATCTGGAAAGGGAAGTAAAAATGAATTTACCTTAATACTTGCAAGCGAAAGCCGTAAAGTATTTTTGTCCTCTGAAGTTAAGTTCTTGGCCTGAAAGCTGTGTTCCTCTAAACCACTTGGATTTTCATTTTTATTCCTGAATTTGCAGAGCTGGACTTCAATGTGTCCGGGGCATTTGTGGGGCAGCCAGCTGTGAACTCCAACCACCTTCCTGCAGGGAGTGACTATGATTCAGGGACCCTGGAGCGGAAGAGGCCGGTCAGCATGGCTGTGATGGAAGGGGAGCTCTTGAGAAAGGAAAGGTAAAGGGAGCGTTTCTTCCCTTCCTCCATCCTATTGTTGGTTTAGCAGGATATTCAACACCATTTGTTGCTGTTTAATTTAAGTCAAAGGTGTTTGAAGTTCTTTCAGAAGTCACAAACTTGGGTTGAGTCAACAGTCCTTTTCTTGGCACATAAGAAATCAAAGATTTCTTTGTCTAATGAAGAAAAACAGATCATATTCTTACCACGAAAGAGTCTTGTTGACTCTTTCAGCCCCTCCCCCCCCCGAATGTTGCATAGTGAATGAAGTTTGAATTGTGGCAGAAGTTGGCATTCATTTCTATGTTAGTTGGCACTCACAACACTTGTTCCTCTGAGAATGACAGCCTTCATACTGTATATTAGCAGCCAATCAGAGAGGTTCCATCCTAGGTGGTTTTCAGCAGGAATCTCCAACCCTGGCAACCTTGAATTCTGGGAGTTGAAGTCCCCAAATCTTAAAATTGCCAAGGTTGGAGACCCCTGGTTTGGAGTATTAAAAACTATTGATGGTGTTCCTTTCAGTCACCAAGCCTGGGAGGCACAAATGTATCCCCTTGAGTACCAAGGTGCGCAGGGTGTTGGGCCTAAAGGCCTCATTCCAGGAAACCTGGAAGCTTCTTTAAAAGGGCAGCTGCTTCAGTGAGCCCCAAGGGCACCTGATGGGCTTCCTGAAGGGATTCTGCAGTCGGGCACGGCCTGTGTTGACAGAGAGGAGCTGGGCATGCCTGGGGTCATGGCCAGCCAGCCCTGAGTGGTGCCTTTCCCCTCCTTACTGCAGCCTAAGGAGGATCCAAAGGTAACGTACATGCCATTCTTTCCTTCTCACCGTGTTCCATGCATGATAGAAGCCCGAGGGAGATCTCACGCTGTGGGAGCAATGGGAGCAGCCTCTCCTTGGGATCCGCGTAGGACCTGCAAGAAGGTGTCCCTGCTGGCAGCCCTCACGATAAACGGTTACAGGCCCCTTTTCTATAATCCACGACAACCCAAAACCTTTGTCATGCCAATCGCCTCCCCAGAAATTCTACCATGTCTTTGGAACACCAAATTTCAGTCTGGAAATTTGCTGTGACTTTAGTTTGAAGAGTGGTTAGCAGGGGTTGTTTATCTGTGTGCTTTGGGCTTCCCTGAACGCTGTTGTAGCCTGACTTCCAATGTGTGCCACTTGGCTTTTCCTTGCCTTACTAGCAGCTAGACCAGGGATCTCAAACTCCCAGCCCAGGGGCCACGCCCTGTTGAAGTCCAGACATGCTAAAGTTGCCAAGGTTGAGAAGTGCTGACTTAGAGGCAAGGCGGCTGGCTGGCTGCTGGCTGGCAGAGACGGCTCTGGCCACATTCATCACAGATGCCGAGTCCACTGGCTCTGGGTTGAGAAGGGACGGTCTCCTGGCTCCAGGCCCCACCTCTGCCACTACCTGCACAGGTATCCAGAATGGAAAGAGGTACCCCAGAACACACCTAGCAAGATCTCTCCTGGGAGGTGCCCAGGGCAAGGAAGTGAGCTGTGCCAGCTCTTTGAAACGCTGCCTGGGGTTTTAGTGGCCCAAAACTACAGGGAAGGGCCTCTTCCCCTGCCTCCTGGCCATGATCCAGGCACAGACCCACCACTGCATAAGTGAGCCTCACCTTCAGTAGCCAATTAGCCAAAATGAAATGCAGAGAAATGGCTGGTGTGTGTGTGTGTGTGTGTGTGTGTGTGTGTGTGTGTGTGTGTGTAAAATTATGTTTACTGGCATATGTGACCCTCTATTCATGAAAGACTTTTTAAAAAAATCAAGTATGCCAAAGCTTCAATGCCAGTCTGAGTTTGAGGTCCCTGAGCTAGATAAACATTTGTTCTACATGGTCTACGTTGGATTCATCAGTAACCTAGTTTTCATGTTTTTGTTTCTGCACATTAACTAGAGCTGTGTGTATTCTGGACTTTTACAGTTTCAAACACCTAAAACAAGAAAATGAATAATTAAGTTGCACGTATAAATGCCGGTTTGTTTACCTTGACCTGTTTTAGATCATTTTGCTGCCAGTAAATCTGGGAAAGGCAAACAGATTCTACAGAGCACCAAAGTCTGCCTGCCCTGGCTTCTTAGTGCTGAGAAAGCTAGATTGATTATTAATTAACTAGTGTCTGCTGCCCATCTCACTTATCGAGTGACTGTGGGTGGCTTTTGTGTCTCTGTTGTTGTGGCTGCCGTTGTTATTGCTGTGATTGCCACTGAATACACACAGCCCTGCCATTAATATTTAAACAGATACCGATGCATGTCTGTGACTTAACCAGGGATGTTCTCAGCTGGAGTGTCCCAGGCATTTGGACCACAGGGGGAGGATACCAAAAAGGCCCTGCGGTTAGAGCTGCCTGGCAGCCACCACATTCTCCAACATTTCCGGAGAAGGGAAATATTTTCAAACCATTGCAGAATTCCTGGGGCTAAAGGGATAAAGTGGGCAGATATTAGTTTGCCCGAAGATAGAATTGTCCAGTATGGATGTATTGTGTCTCTGCATCACTCTCACTCTCCATCTCTGTCTCTCTCGCACTCACAAAACGAAACTGATGGGGGATTATCAATCTTGCCAGTCCTCAATGCCTGTCACACTCTTCCTAGCTAAGCCAGAATGTGTTGCACTTGTCAAACTCTGGCTGGCAGAGTTTGTGTGTTCCTTGCTGCCTATCTTGCATGGCCAGCAGCAGGGACTCACCTTACGTCTCCCCAAGTAGTTATACTGACTCTTTGTGTTTACATGTAGCCTGCCTGCATGGAGTGTTTACTCTCTCTCTCCTCTGTAGCTTTGGTGTCAAGGTTATGGATTTCCAGGCAAACCCCCGGAGAGTTGGCACTGTGAATAGAAAGCACACAGCCCCAGCTTTCCAGCCACCGCTTCCGCCCACGGAGGCTGGCCCGCTGGTCCTGGCCACGGCGGAGCAGCACCCACAGGCCCCGGGGGCTGAGCCCGGCCTGGCGGGTGCTTCTTCTGCCTGCCTGACTGGCTCAGCAGAGCATTCTCACAGCCAAGGCACGGAGGACAGCAGGTAAGACGGGGGGCTCAGCGAGGCAGGCTCAGGGTGGGCCCCGGTCCTGCTCTTCTCTCCCTGTCGTCAGTCCCCAAAGCCAAAGGGAGACGCTTTGCAAGGCTGGCCTGCTTTGTTGCCCCACGGAAGCAGAATCATCGGGATCCTCCTGCCTTAAAGCAGGCCAAGCCGCCCTCCTGCTTCCCTCCCAAGGTGTTGCTCAGAGGTCATGCCAGAGCCCGCCCGAGTCAGGGAAAATGCAGAGCTGCACGGCAGAGCCCAGCTGCACCCCGCAAAGGTAGGGATCCTCCCTCCCGCCTGACCTGGAGAGATGGTAGCTCGTCCTTCTAACCCACTTAGCTAGAACCTGTTTGTCTCGTCTTCGTAGGCTGTGCACCCACCCCAGTCAGTGTGCCACAGTGTTTCTGGGCTTTAGCTTTTCCTCCCACGGGGAAGGTGGGAATATGAAAGCGGGGTCGACTGGCGGTGCAGGCTCCTTTCTGCACTGGAGAAAGCGAGATTTGCTCCTCCTCCAAAGCCTTCCACCAATTGGTCTCTGGGCCCAACAGCCCTTGCTGGACAGCCTACAAGCGTAACTTGGGGGAGAAGATACGGAAGCAGCTGCTCAGAGAAGCCTTGCTATTCTGAACAAGTCCCCCAAAATAGGTTGAGCAAAGACCAGGTTGTAGGAATGGGCAGAGCAAGAAATGTTGGTGGTTAAAATGGGTGCCAGGGACCTGAGTGAGGTTCAAGGACTGGTGAGTAGCTGAAAAGGGGCTCATTTGGGTTTCTGGGGAATTGCAATCTTTGACACATCTCAGAGGAACTAGAAGGACGTCACTCTTGCAGCTTAAGATCCCTCTTCTAATTCTGTGGTGCCCGCAGTTGGTATGGCTGACCTTGGTGCTCTGCTGCTTGAAGCACTTCTGAATACTTTTCCTAAGCTGTGGGGGATTCCATGGACCCCAGACAGCTGGGTCAAGCAGGCCAGCAGTGGGCTAGGGACCAAAGGGGCGGGGGTTCTGCCTGCACTTGGCACCTGTTTAATGCAACAAGGGCCCCACGACTCAAGAGGAGCCTTAGGGAGAAGCGGCTTCTGGCACCCAACAGGAGCCTTTGATGCAGGTCTTTCTCTCCTTGCAGCTCTTCCAAGCCAAAGGATTTGGTGCCCTCAACCACACCGCCACCCCCCAGAAATGGTGGAGCCTCTCAGCCTCTCAGCAGCGCCAGCCAGTACTCAGTTGGACAGCCCCAGAGCACTGCCGGGCCCAGCCCACATGCCCTCAGGCGAGGTATGTCCTTCGGGAGCTGCATTGGCAGCCGGGGGGGAGGGTTGGGGGGCGGGGGTTCAGTGAAGACTAAAGCTGCCAGGTCTTTCCCGAGGAACAGCTGTTTCTCAATCAGAATTTGCCCACTTTGGATCAGAAGGGAGACCGGTGAGGAAGGGATTTCAACACTGGGGCGTTTTTTTCTCCTTTTCACTTTTGGTCACCTTGCAGGAGGGTCATAGAGCAGGTTTCACATGTCATTGGCTACTTGGGCTATTTCACACCACCAAGAGAATGCAGAGCTTGCCCTGAAATTCAGACAGTTAAATTTGCCTGACTTGGAGTCTCAAGTTACTCAAGTGATCTTTTTTTTTTTTTTTTGGGGGGGGGGGGGTAAGATGTATTGGAGGAGGAGCAGCGCTGGGAAGGGAAGCGAGAACGCTCTGCCCCAGCAAAAGATTTGTTTTTGTTTGGAAAAGGTATGTAGGCACCCATGTGTCATACAGATGACTGGTGCAAAGTAAACACACACACACACAAATATACAACAAAATAACCCCAAACAAAACCAAGAGGCCCACTTCACCCTCCCTGCTGGAACCGATGGAGTGGGTACATTGGATTAGACTGCTGGGTTGAGACTAATGTTGGCCAGGGAGGCATAGAGCAGGCTGGGCGGCAGCCACAGAGGACAGCAGGTGAGAAGCTCTCACACTGCATTAGGCTCTGAGAACAGGCGTGTCCAAACCTTTCAGCTTTTAGTCTTGCGGCCTTCAACTTCCAGAATTCCCCAGGCAGCTATGATGGCTGGGAAATCCTGGGAGTTGAAGTTCACAAGTAATCCACTTTAGAGACCCTCGCTCTTAGGAAATGAGAGAGCTGCAGGCAGTTCTCTAGGAGAGGACATGAAGCATCCCTCTCTTGAAAAGAGGCTGCCGGGCTGGGTCTTCTGTGGTAATACAACCTCCATCCAATCTCAGGATCCCCATGAAACTTGGTGTTTCTCAGACAGGGGCCAGAGGTCTTTTTCAGCCTGGGTGCCCAGCACTTAACTGTAGCCCATGAAATAATCAGAAGCTTCATACTCGACCACAATCTCAGCCATGTCTCTTCCTTTTGCTCTCTTTCAGCCGTCAAAAAACCTGCACCAGCCCCTCCAAAACCAGCAAACCCACCTCCGGGACAGCCAGGGACCCTGAATCCCACTCCAGCCCCCAAACCCCCCCCAAGAAGCCCTTCTCCTCCCAGCCAGCAATCAAACCAAGGGGGCGCTCAGCCTTCTGCTGCCCTGCCCCAGATTTCTGCCCCCCGGCGATACTCAAGCAGCCTCTCCCCGATACAAGCTCCCAACCACCCACCCCCCCAGCCCCCCACGCAGTCCGTAACACCACCTCCACAGACCAAGGCTAGTAGTTTTGGACCCTCCCCGCCAGGCGCAGAGGGCGGGTCAGAGCCGCTGTCATCCACCCCTCCACATACCCCCACCCCACCTGACACGCCCCCCCTGGAGAAGCATAGCACCACCTGCCCATCCGCCCAGCCTTCAGCCCAAGACATTCCACCGGCTCAGTCGCCTCCTCCGTCTGGCACGCTACCAAGGCCCCGGCCAGTGCCCAGACCTCGCAACCGTCCCACAGTGCCCCCTCCGCCTCACCCTCCTGGTCCTCATCTGTCTGCAAATGGTTCTCTGCTGGGCCCTCCAGCAACAGCATCCCACATCGTGACTGGTAAGAACACTCTCGGCTCCTCTCAGGCATGTCTTTGAGCCTGTGCTTTGATGGAGGAATGCTCTCTCCCAGCGGGGACGGCCAAAGGAAGCCCCCCCCCCTTCAAAGCAAGCCAGTTACGGCTGTCGGCCAGTCCTCCATGGGGGGCTGCAAGGCCCAGTTTCTGTCCTTTGATATTAGCAAAATCCATGGACGAGATGACAAAGGCAGATTAACTGTATTCATAGTAGCAGCTAGTCTAGATAGGAACATAGCGCTTCATTTCAGAAAGGAAATAGTGAACATATTGGAGCAAATGTGAAATATGTGAGCCCATTTCAGTGTTCACGTCAAAGTTTTGGCTTCCTTTAACTGAACAACAAAGGCATCCTCAAGAGTTGGACATCAGCAATCAATTTTGTGTTCTGGGCTTTTGCGTATCATCCTTTGCTAGTCCCCATTCCTTCCCATCAACGGTAGCAGTGCAACCCTCCCTCTGATTTTCCTCTGCCATCAAAATTGTTTTCCTTCACACTGAAGAACATTCCAAGATGTCAGGTTTCCTTCCTGTGTTGTTATAGCAACACAGCCAATGATCAGGAGAGGCAGGTTTTAGCCTTTTTGCTCTGTGGGTTCCTTCTTTCCTTGCTGCCCAGATGTGGTGCTGGTGGTCTTTTCACGCAGGCTGCGTTCAGAAACATTGGGAAAATCTCAGTGCTGCTGTTAGATGATGGCTGAATTTTATCATACTCAGATTGTAGATGGCAAACAGGGGAAATAGCCATTTATTCTTTTATTTAAGCCCCGTCCCTTTCTAGCTAACCAAATAATTTCCCTGTTGGTACAGTACGTACAAGACTCATTTATTGCATATTGCATCAATATTTACAAGCTCTTTTTATTTCTTAATCTGGATTGGGCACTTTTTAATAACACTTAATGTTAATTTTAAGCCGCATATTAGGACAAAGCCTTGACTTCTGGCAGAATGAAATAGCGCATGCCCATCTCTTAATTTTAGCAGACTCTAACATATTGAACCCTTGCAGGCTTGTAATGGCTACTGGAACAAAACAAGTTTCAACTGCCAAAATAACCCTTTGAATCTTTAGATTGTAATATATCTCCAAATAATATTCTAATTGAGAATTTTATTAAATAATCTAGATGTTTGAGCTGCCTTATTCAATAGGAACTGAAATTGGAAATGGTAAGAGGAAATTGAGGCCTTCCGATTGGCTGGATATGTTGCAAATGTTGCATAATCATGGATGCTGCTTTCGTTTCTTACTAACTGGTCACTGTAACCTGCCTTGCTTGCACCTGGACTAATCCTGCATGTGAAAGGAGTGATGCTTTTCTTGTCCATTGTTCGTAATGTTGATCTCCATTTTAATGCATTCTGGTCTACTGCCCCTCCCGATCCATATTTGTCAACCTTTCATCAGCAGACACTGGAATGACTTTCTGCTTTTCAAAATCTTCAGAGCATCATAGCATGTCCAGATAGAAGTGAAAGAGGCACACAGAGAGGCACACGTAAACTGTTCTTCCCTCCACCCTTGTGCTGACGAATTTGCAGTCTTAAGTTCTCTCCCACAGAGAGCTAAGTGCAACCTTGCAGATCCATGCCAATCCTGGCACTGGTTGCTGTTCCCTTATAGTGTGAACAGGGCACCTCCACTGCTGCACGGGGCTTAAACATGCAGGGTAAGAAGAATCTGAGAGAAAGGCTTCTCGTATGGATTGGAAGCTCAGGTGAATTATGTATTCGTAATAAAATACAAACTTGATGTGATTTTGGAATAAGCAGCCGTTGCCCCAAGCAAGTTGGTGTGCACTCTTTTGCCCTAGTTGCAGTATTGTTGGCCAAGAACTCTGGCAAGCTGATTTATGTGTAGAGACTCAGCTCCAAATACTGCCTAATTTGCTGGAGGTGACCTTGACTTAGAAAGAAGATACAGCAGCCAAAGCATCTTTCTGGGGAAGAGCAGATTGGAGCCTTTATCATTCCTCACCTGCAGACAGAAATCTTGCCAAACTAAAGCAGCTACTTGCATCATGTAAGATCTACTCGAGAATGTCTAGGGAGGAGCTGCCTCTAAACCTAGTCCCTGTCTCTTGGTCCTCTGGCCTGTAGCATCTCCCTCCTGGGAAGCCAGACAACGTTCCACCACACCCACAGATGTTGAAAAGCAGGCAATCCGATTGATCCCCTGCTCTGCCTCATGCCCCATTGACGCACTAGCGGCAACCAACCCTATGGAACTTTTGGATCATTAAAGCTCTTCCATTAGAGCCAAGTGGGGGCCCGTCTAAACTTTGGCTATGTGATTGTCAGACAGGGGCAGAGAGCCGTGACTGGATTTGCATTTCTGATGGTAAGGAAATGTACAAGAACAGGGGCAACTCCATTTTGCAGTCATTCTGCATTAAAAGGGAAAGGATACCTTCGACCCATCATACCAGGGCTGCACGTCGGTGGAAACGAAGTCCCACCTGCACGTCAGATGTCTTTTCACCTTTTCATTGAAGGAGGGGGGAGAAGAGGGTTGGTTGCCAGTGTAGAAATAGCCTAGCTCATGTTTCTTGGATTTTGAAATGGGGAAGAGAGCTAGGTAGCCATGACAGGCAAGTTCCCCCCAAATTGTTACAACCTAATTGTTTGTGCTAATGGGTTCTCGTCCCATAAAGTTCTATTCTTTGCAGATCCACTAAAGCCCCAGGCCCAACCAGTTTTCCCCAGAATGTGGCAAATTCAGACAAATGAACAAAATTCTGTTTTCATTGACCTGTTTCTTCAAATTATGCTTCCCTAGTAAAGAACAGTTTGTGCTTTTCCAGAATTACCTAAGCTTATACTAGCTGGGTCCTGATAGTTGGATTTACAGCTTGTGACAAATCAGTTTCCCTGAATGACATGAAGAAACTTTGACTGGCTGTCTGAGAATAAAGTTCTCTGTTTTTCAGGAGCTATGCTGCTCAAATTTGAAATTTTAAGGTGAAGGCATATCCTGTCACCTCTGAGAAGATCAGGCTCCTTTCACAACAAAGTTATTAGCCATTATGATAAACTTGAATAAAATATGTTGTTAGAGGATTCTGAAGTCAGACCCTGAATTGTAATTCCTGCTCTCCTTTGAATTCAGACATTTTGCATAGTATTTCAGAGGGGGAGTCTTGTGGGTCAGTAGCCAACCCTGAGTTTATCTTCCAGCATTTGTACTGTGTTTGTTTGATATCTTTTCTGCACAGATACCAGTTCCGAAGTTAAAGAGCAATCACGGGGCATCCCTGGCATGGAACTTCCTGCCACAGAATTGGTGACTTCGCCGAATCAGAATTCACACAACCACCTTGTGCTTGATCTCGATCATGATACTGAAAGCACTGCTTTGTAAAAAAGAATAAAATCACTCCAAAGCAGCCTTTTCTATCCCAATGAAAACTTAACCAGTCCAGGATTTACAGTGAGGAGCTTTAAAACAAAGAAGAAGACAAAGTAGGAATCGTACCACTGCTGGCCTCATGTCTTCTGAGAAGACACGTGATCTTTAAAAAGAGAGTTTAATGACCTGTATCCTGACAAAGCTGCCTAAGCTAACATTGGGTGTTCTGGCTGTTGCTAAACCTTATATGAGAAGCTTGATTGCTGCTGTTAACCAAGATGGCCCTTGCCAGAAATTTCCGAGAAGAATCCAAAGCAATGCATGTGTAATGGAAATCATAACCCTTTCAAGACCTCTGTTGAGCTCTTCTTCTTTGTCCTTATCAAAGAGAGGTGTGCAAGAGACATGCTATCTCTGATATGCTGCAAACTTCGTTAAAAGTATGAACCAAAAAATTGCTACAAGTGCAGAAGATGACTGCTGGTTATCGGTCACTTTTCTAAACGGTGGATGTATTCTTGTGCCTTGATGGACTTGACACTGTAGAAGGAAATGTACTGTCTCTCTAACCATTTCAGTGCTATTCTTTTTTAAAATATGGTTCTTTACCCCTTTATTTTTCATAGATATTTGTATTAACCCTTCTGCTCTGGTTTCTGTAACTTCCATAGGCAGATGCTGTCAAGCTGAACTCTGGAAAATGTGTATTGCTATAAATGAGTTGAACTTTGAAAGTTATTTTGGATATCTTGTTGGGTTCATCTGCCAAGTAAAATTATTCTCTTTTTTTGTCACTGTGCAACCAATTTATTGTAATTTTCCTACCCAGAGAGCTGTATTTTTCCCCTAAATTGACTAGTGAATTAAATTGCTTGGGAAGTGAAGCAGAGTCACCCCAGAAAGAAAAAGGGAATAGTTTGGCAAGAACCTGAAAGATATAGAAGTATTTGCCCCTAATTTCTCCCCTCTCCAACTACTTTTAGTCATAAGGAGTCAGGACCCGAACAGAGAGAAGTTCAACAGCTTCTGGAGAGTCATTAATTCCTCATCCCTGGTTTGAAAAAATGCCAGCACACCACTCTCAAGTCTTCCTGACAACTTTATTAGTTGCTTTGTTTTCCCTCTGCATGGGTGAAGAGATGGGCATTAATGTTCTCAGGCCAACTCCATCCCAGGGCTTTGGGATTTTGCAAATGGGATTTCTTTAGACACATTGGTAAGTAGCTTGGCCGTAGGGTTTCATGTAGTCATATGGGTAGGAGTAGGCCATACTGTTTCTGGGGAGGAGAGAGGGAAGTGGAAGAAAAAGGAAACATCATTTTTCCAATGCTTTTACAAGCAATAACCGGAAGAGCATCTGTATATTCTTTGGTGCACCCATGTTGTGTTTGTATGTCTGCAGTCTCGCCCCAGGGACCAATCAGAGTGCATACATGTTGCCTTTATGTCTTGGTTTGGCTAAAGTGGACTGGTTGCCTGGTGTGTGGGTTTGTGCTTGCACACACACACACACACCACACACTAGGAGTGTGTCAAATGTGACCAGGAGGCTGAGAGTGGAGCCTCTCCAAGCTTCCCAGCCCCTCCCCAAAGCCATGGATTTTTTCCCATAATCTCCAGGAACCTGCTTATTACAGTCATAAATCATGACAGTTGTAAAGTGGGTCATCATGTGACCGTCCTGATTTTGCAATCTTTTTGTGGCAGCTATTACACAAACCCATTGTTCCTTATGGGGCATTTTTGCTCAAACCCAGAAGTGAACGCTAGTTTTGGCAAAAACATAAATTGCAGTCATGTAACTGCAGGACAGTGGATGGCCATAAATGCAAGCCGGTTGCTGAGTGCCCCAAATCCAGTCATGTGTCGTGGGTAGGAGGGCTGGCTGCTGGAACTAAGGATCTTTTGGGAGACCCATCCTAGCTTTAAACGGTCGCTCAGCAATTACCAACAACATGCACATAACCCTTTTCAACACTGTGGAACTAAAGGTTTGGTCCTCCGCATTCTTAATTACAGATCGTCCTCAAGGTAAGACTCATGGAAGCCTCTCCATTACGGTTGCATGTTGTGGCAGCTGTTAAGCTGCATGGTTCTGGAAGTGGCCACCATTTTTATCCCAGCCACGAAATAGCCGCTGTGTTTGGGTCACCGCTTGTGCAGCCAGGACAAACTGCTTCATTTCGCTGCCTTTGCAAGGTCTGCACAACGCTCGTTCAGAAGCCTCTGCATCACTTTGGAGGCATCTTTAAGGCAGCAAAGGAATCAGTTTCTCCGGCAGCTGCCATTTTCTCCCCACCCACAAGCAGGCAGCACAAGATGGCTGCTACGTTCAGGTCCCCTGCGTGGCCCAGGGAGGTCGTGGGCTGCCCTCCTTCCACAACATGAGCTCTGGAGAACTCCAAAAGGTGAGTGCGGGGCGCAGCAGAGCCAAGCACTGAGGGGTCCCGGCGGGATGGGATGGAGGAGAGAAGCCCTGCAGCATCCTTGTAGCTGGTCGTGAGGGGACAATTCCAGAAGTGGCCACCATTCTGTCCCACCCTCCTTCCCCAGCATGAAGAGGTAAAGGGTGGGGCGTGACTGGCGTGTGTGGAGGAGGCCCAAGCGCAGGGTTTGGTCTGGGGGAGGTCTGGGGGTGCTGCAGTGACCCAGTGATGCGTCATAAGGGTGAATGGCCACAGGGCCCCTGCAGCCATCCTAGTTAGAAATGGTCCTAGGTAATTTGTTAAGCAACCTGTTTTACCTCAAGGACTACCAGTACTCTTGTTCAAAATTTTAGTAAGTTCCTTTCTTATGCCTCAATTTGCATCAAAGATTTTCTTTGGGGAATCCCTGTTCTCCATCCAACCACCTGCTTTTAACCAAAAGGTGCCAGGATGTTAAAAACAAGATGGAGCAGGGATGGAAGGATAAATTGAATATATTGCCACAGTCATCTAATTGTGTTTAAAATAGAGGTCTCCAAACTTGACAACTTTAAGACTTGTGGACTTCAACTCCCAGAATTCCTCACCCAGGATGGGTTTTCTTAATGGCTGGCTAAGGAATTCTGGGAGTTGGTCCACAAGCCTTAAAGTTGCCAAGTCTAGAGACCCTCGCATTAAAGCTGCAAAGCACCAGCTTTCCAAGCATAAACCACTACATCTGTCTACAGTCTGTTTACAACCATCTTCCGTTTCAAGTAGAATCTACAGCTTTCCAGCAAAATGGTGACTCGCTTGGTCCTAGTGGAGCCCTGTGGAAGCTTCCCGTTGACCAGGGGCTGCCTTGAGGCCTGTCCAAGGAGGGAGACTTTCCTTTTGGGCTGTGGATTCTCTGGTTAGCCTTGGGGGCAGGCAAAAAAAGTACCTGCATCCATTTGTGGCTGCAGAGGATTGTTGTACATCTTCAGAAATTCCACTGGGCTCAAACATTCTTGGCTCCTGCACAAATACTGGATTGTTTCCGCTGGGATCAGCAGCTCCGGCACAGCAGTGTGGAGGCACTCACCCAGGCCTTTGTTGCCCACCTTCAGAGGAGAAAGGAAGCACAGTGGATTTAATCCCATGGCATTTGTCCTGGAATTAGTGCATACATTGACTTGGTCAGGCTTTTCTGCTTTAAGCAATGCTGCTCAGACAACTGATGTTTCAAAGCTTGGTCTAAAGAAGAAGAAGAAGAAGAATTCTTTATTGCCAGTGCACAACATATGTACAATGAGATTGGTTGAGCTCCTTCTATGCACCCATACACACACAATACAACTCACAGTGAAGACCAAAAGAAAAAAAAATATCCCTAGACCAATAAATCATATTAACAAACACCCAGCCCCATTACACCAGTGTGAACATGTTACACATTGCGCTAGCCCTGCCAGTCCATCGTACTACTTAGTTATTTTGTTATTGCGCATTCAGGTGTCTGACAGCCCATGGATACAAACTGTTCTCCAGCCTGTTTGTGCAGCTGGCTATGCTTCCATACCTCCTCCTCGATGGTAGGAGGGTAAAGAAGTGCCATGCAGGGTGAGAGTCGTCCCTGAGGACTTTGCTCACTCTTCTAAGGCAGGGAGCCCTAGCGATCTCATCTAGTGGTGTCAGGGGCAGCCCACAATGTTTTGTGCTGTGCTCATCACCCTCTAATGTTTTTCCATCCATGGCTGTCAAACCAGCATGCTGTACTATGATGCAATAAGTGAGGACGCTTTCTATTGTGGATCGGTAAAAGGAGATCATCGGTTTTTGTTCCACCTTGTTTTTACGCAAGACCCTAAGGAAATGGAGTCTCTCTTGGGACTTCCTGGCCACCTGGGTCATGTTGGTGGCGCAGTGGTTAAATGCAGCACTGCAGGCTACTTCAGCTGACTGCAGTTCTGCAGTTCGGCTGTTCAAATCTCACTGGCTCAGGGTT